ATCGCTATCGGCACGTTGGACCTCCTCCTGCAGATCTCCTTTCAGGACAGGGAGCCCTCTGCGCGCTCCTGTCTGGCGCGCCCGGCTACACTAGTGGTGGCGGGCCCGTCGCTCCCCTTGACGGCGACAAGATCGCCTGGCCGCCCCTCTCCAGCAAGCCCGTGCACCTGACGGACCTGCTCGGGGATAAGGACGCCTCGTGGCTCAGGGATTGGAAGGAGCGCATGCTACGACCCTCCCAGGCCGCTCGGAGCCTCCGCGCTGAGGCGTGTCCGCGGGGCGCATACGTCGACCCGCTGTTGAAGCACAACGCTCGTGATTATGCTACCTTTCTCAGAGAGGCCTGGCGCCGTGGGATGCTTACTTGGAAGCATGGGCATGGCGGCGACCTCGGGCTGTTCTTCGTGCGACGCAAGGACGCGCGCCTCAGGATCATCTTCGACACACGGGTGATCAACTGCGACTTCTTGCCCGCTCCGTCCACTCGTCTTCCGACTCCTTCGGCGTTCGGTGCGCTGGAGACCGACCAGCAGGTCTACGTATCCTCTGGTGACTTGGAGGCCGCCTTCTACCACATGCTTGTGCCGCCCGACATGGCGCACCATTTCTCACTGCCCAGCCTGGACGCGGGGTTCCTGCTGGACTGCGGGGTGACTGACCTGCCGGCGGGGCCGGGGGAACCCATCACCCCGTGCCTCCGCGTGCTGCCCATGGGCTTCTCTTGGGCGCTTCACCTCTGCCAGGGCGTTCTTCGGCGTGGCCTAAGTCTGGGTGGCTTCGAGCCCAGCTGCCTCGTGGAGGACGGCCAGCCTGGCCGACAGGTGAAGCGCGGCGGCCCATCAGCAGCGGCGGGCTACGTCGACACTTACTTCGTGATTGACACGAGCGCGGAGGTGGCCAACCGCAGGGCGATGGCTGTCAAGGAGCAGTTGGTGCAGCTCGGACTGGTGGTTCACGACCAGGAGACCGCCTCCCGCGACGCGGAGTTCTTGGGGCTGAGCTTGTCCGAGGGCCGCTTCCTGGCTACCCGCCCTAAATGCTTGTGGCGACTGCGACTCGCTATCGAGAAGTTGCTTCGCATTGGCAGGTGCAGTGGGAGTCTCATGAAGGTGCTCCTTGGCCACGTCACCTGGGCTGCGCTGTTGAGACGTGAGTCACTGTGTCTGGTTCAGGCCGCCTACGCTTTCGCCGCTAAGGCGGGGGGCGAGCCCATCAGGCTGTGGCAGAGCGTGAGGCGCGAGCTCTGGCAGGTCCGCTGCCTCCTACCGTTGCTGCAGGCGGACCTCATGTCGCCCTGGCACTCGCAAGTCATCGCTTCTGACGCGTCGGAGTTCGGCTTGGGGCTTGTTCGGCGCAGAGTGGCGCCGGCTGTTGTTGCGCAGATTGGGCGTCAGTCCGAAAGATGGCGGTACCGTGTTGAGGGAGGAGCTCGAGCGCGTGAAAGAGCGCTTGGCCCCGTCATCGTCTCATCATCGTCTCTTCCGTCCGCTCTGCTGCCTTTGGAGTTCCTCAGCGTGCCCGAGTCGAGCTTCGATGAGGTCCCCAGGGGTGTCTTGGAGGAGTCGTCTTGGGCGGGAGTCGCGGCGGTGAAGATCTCGGAGGACATGAATATCTTGGGCCTCGAAGGTGAAGCTCTCGCTCTTGGGGTTCGGCATCTTCTGCGCAGCTCGGAGGCTTTTGGGAAGCGTCTACTGGCTCTGGTGGACAACCTGCCTTTGGCTCTAGCGGCCACAAAGGGACGAGCCCGTTCAGCACACCTAGGAGGTCCTCCTCGTAAGCTTGCCGCTCTCAGTTTGGCCTCAGGGTCTCGATTATATGTGAGGTGGATCCCTTCAGAGCTCAACCCGTCCGATCCGTACTCCCGTGGGCTCCGAGGATGGTTCTCTGGCGGCCGCTCGTCAAGGGATCGCGCCATTCACGTCGCGGTCGAGACGGGCGCTGCTGCCTTGGATGCCGCGCCGAGCAGGCCGCAGGCCCAAGGGAGGCCCGCATGCGGGTACGCGAGCCAGCCTTGCTCGCGACCTTCTGGCGAGCCGTTTGCCGATAGCGGGACTGACGGCGTTGGAGCAACTTGCAGTCAAGGAGTCGACCGAGACCCTGTATCGCGGTCTGTGCAACAGGTTCACGGACAATTGCTGCTCCCACCAGGTCTCGTGGTCCACGATCATGGAGCTGGACCTCGCCGTGCTGAGGTACCTCAACGACCAGTTTCAGGCGGGCGCAGCCGCCGCGGAGGGGGGCCAGCTGCTGGCGGCGCTGTCGCACTTCATGCCCGAGGTGAGGCGCTCCGGCAAAGGGGGCCTGGCTCAGAGCTGGAGAGCTGCCACGGCCTGGAGGCGCCGCGTGCCCAGTTTCACGCGCTGCCCGCTGCCGAGGTCCGCGACTTTTGCCATCGCGGGGGTCGCTCTTGCGCTGGGCCATATGCGGATGGCGCTCTGGATTGTGATATCTTTCGTGTGCTATCTTCGCCCCTTCGAGTGCTTCATGCTAAGGGGCAGACACCTGATGAGCCCCACGGCGACAGCTGGTCCCGCTTACCAGGCCTGGGGGCTCTTACTGCACGACATCGCCGAGGCTCAGCCTGGCAAGACGGGCCTGTTCGAGGAGTCAGTCCTGATAGACCTGGAGGTGTTTCTCAATCCCCTCTTACGGGCCCTCAAGCTAGCCACGCCTCCCGAGGAGACGCTCGGGCCCTTCACTGCAGTGGAGCTTCGCGCAGTCTTCTCAAAAGCGGTGTCGATGCTGAACCTGGACAGTCTCAGGCCACATCTTTATTCTCTTCGGCACGGAGGGGCATCAGACGACCTCCTCAGCAGTCGGCGCACGGTCGAACAGGTGCGTCGGCAGGGGGCGGTGGACGGCAGCTTCGTCCATGGCCAGGTACGCCAAGGAGTCGAAGCTCCTGCGGGAGATCAGCCTCGCCCCGCTGGCCAGCTTCAAGTTCGGAGAGATCGTGGAGCAGAACTTCCAGCGCCTGGTGGAGAGTGGCTTCCTGCGCTCGGGCGTGATCGACATCGTGCCCGACCCGCTCAGGCTGCTCGTCAGGCGCCTGGCCGAGAGCGGCTCCGCTGGGCTGCCGAGTTTCGACGCCCTGAGCTGCAGGGCAGCTCGCAAGCGGCCCGCTGGCGTGGCGGCCAGCCGCAAGCGGGTGGGCCGCCGCCGCTCTGCCGCCCCTCTGCTGGCATAGCGCGGCGGCTGCGCCGTGAGTTCAGGCAAGCGCTGCGGACTGCCCGCCGGCGCAAGCATTGCGTTTTCTTAGACTTGTTTGCGGGCTCGCAAGGAGTAGGCTACCAACTGAGACAAGCGGGATACGCTGCCGTCTCGCTTGACATTCAGATGGGTGTGCATGGCAATCTTCTGATTCGAACCGTCGAGAAAATGCTGAGAGGCTGGATCGCGTCGGGGGCGGTGCTGGGAGTGTGGCTTGCCACTCCATGCACCACCTGGTCGCAGGCTTTAAGGCAACCGCCCCGTTCTTCGTCGAGCCCCATGGGCCGCGCAGATCTTTCTCAGTCTCAGCGTGCGCGTCTAGAGGTAGGTAACAGCACTTTTCATGTAACCTGCCGTCTTATAGACGCCTGTCGCAAGGTTGGTGTGCCAGTTTTCCTAGAGAATCCCGACAGGTCGCTTCTGTGGGAACCCCCCCGCATGCTCGCGCTGAGACGCTCTCGCGACTGTGTCGAAGCCCGCCTTGACCAATGCCAGTTTAAGGCCCCTTGGAAAAAGGCCACGCGAGTCGTTGCGTGGCGGAGCGGCTGCCTGTCTCGTCTTTGCCATCGTTGTAATGCCAGTGGTAGGATCTGCAGTAAATCGAAAGTGCCGCATCAGGAGCTTGCTGGGCGGGCTCCTGGGGGTAGACACTGGACTTCGATCGCCGCCGCGTATCCGAAGCCTCTCTGCCTTGCAATTGCTCGCACCATGATTGACGCAGCCGAATATTTAAGAACTTCTTTGTTGTGGAGCAGGTTCAAACCTTGAGTTTCCTTGTTTCATTGCTTGAGTTTGTTTTCGGCCTGCCGGCCAGGTTTACCATTCGGGTTTGGGAATCTCCGAGCGCGTCTGGTGGCCTACGCCTTCGCCCTACCGATCGAAGGTTATCGCCATGGCTCCAGACACGATAAAACAGTGTGCTGTCGATCTTGGGATTCTGCGGGCTAAATCTCTGGCCGCTTTTAACAAGCAGAAGTGATGTGCAAGCAGCTTCAGGATCGCCGCATCGACGTCCCGTCGACGTACTGCTCAAGTCTCCCTCCCACCCTTTTCTGCCCTCTTTCGCCTTTCTGTTTTTCCATGTGTATTCCCTCGCTCGACAGCCTGCCTGCTGTCTGCCGAGTCCTCTTTGAATATGCATTCACGAGCCTCTGCTTCGGGAGTCTCCGAGCGCGTCTGGTGGCCTACGCCTTCGCCCTACCGATCGAAGGTTATCGCCTTGGCTCCAGACACGATAAAACAGTGTACTGGCGATCTTGGGCTTCTGCGGGCTAAATCTCTATACGTATATATATATATATATATATATATATATATATGCATGTTTGTATGTATATGTATACATATATACATATACATACACATCAAACAACCGCTGGGTCCGCAGGACGTCGGATCTCAGGCAGTGGGTATGGATAAACCCGCGCTTCGCATCCAATACGGTGGGGACGTTCGTTCAGGAATGTGCTCACCACGCTTGTCGCGACACGCCATCCACGCCCTCATTTTCAACTTCGAAGTTCCGAGCTGTTCCCAGCCTCCCGCCCCACACGCCATCCGCTTGCAAGGCATAGCGTTTCGTCGGGGCCGCCGCCACGACACTTCCGCTCGCAAAGAATAGTGTCTCGCCTGGGCCGCCGCCGCGATCCGCTTCGGTGGGGGCGACCGTTCAGGAATGTACGCAGGAGGCTTCAGACCCTGGAGGGCTCCTTATCCGTTGAGGGCGGCGGTGGTACCCGTGGCCAGGCCGCACTTGTGTTCCGTCTCGCAGACCCTGGACTCCCTAGCGAATGGTTCCTTATCCAATGCCCTCACCGTCCGTAACCATGTTGGCTCAAGCCACTGGGCAGGAGCTGGCAGCGGCGGGCCGCCCGTGTCGGGCGGTCGGAGGCGCGCGCAAGGCGGGAGCCGCGGCGTTGGCGGCGAACCCGGCGGCAGCGGCCGCCTATTGTGCGGTGGTGGCTGCCCTCGACGCGGGCATCGGCGGCAAGGGGCTGGCCACGCTCGTGGCGGCGGCCACGCGCGGCACCGTGCAGGGCGCGGCAGCGGCTACGGGTCGTGCCTTGGACGACGGCGCCGACAGCGGCAAGGGGATCGAGACGGAGGTACTCGGGCTCCTGGAGGAGGTCCTGGCCGCTGTGTCCAACGCGGCGGGCCTCAAGGACAAGGCCGGCCTCGGCGAGGCGAAGGAATCGCTCCGCGAACAGGGCGATGTTGGCAAGCGGCTTGCCAGCCGCGTCTCGCGCCCCAGCACGGCGAGGAGCTGTCGCGCATCCCGACGTCGAGCTCGTGGCGGACACTCACGGCATCACCCCTGGTGGAAACGTGAGCGTCGACGAGCTGGTGAGCGACGCCGTCAGCATGCAGGACTCTGAGAAGATGGCGGGCGTGGACCCGCACGGCTGGTACATCGGGGATATATGTACGTGCACCAGGGCACGCAGACCTGGGGCGCCGAGCGCGGCCCCGACGTGGGCCCCGACGGGGTCCGCCGCGGGCGCTGGGCGGACGGCATAGACGAGGACAGCCTGCTTGCGGTCGATTTCGGCGAGGACAGGTCCTGGGTCGAGGATGCAAGCAGCACCAAGAAGCAGGAGTTTGACGACGGCGGCGGTTTCATCCCGACCGTGCAGCACGTGATGGGGGACCAGCAGGACGGCCAGGGCGTGGACGAGGCAGGCACGGCGCACGGGTGCAAGGTTGACACCGCTGAAGCGGCCGGGGAGCTGAACGTCGCGTCCGACGTCGTGCCCGCCGTAACGTCCAAGGAGGTCCAGATTGTGTCGGGCGTGGTCGATTCCGGGGGCACTGGTGAGTGCAATGTCGTGGCGCTGGGCAAGGTAAGGAAGAAGACAGGTAACATGAATAGCAAGGGCCAGTCTGTGGCCGTCGGCAGCGGTTCTGATCAGCTCATCCTGGAGCTCAAGCAGACCTTCGCTACCTTAGACACGCATGGTGATGGAGCGCCCGACTCGGACGTTTTGGCGGGGGCGTTCGTTGCCCTCGGCTTCGAGGCGAAAGTGGTCCACCAGGTGATACTTGATGTCGTGATGCACGGCTCAGGCTCTATCGGGTGCGTGGCGTTCTTCGAGCTGGTGCAGGGCCTTATCTACCACGGCTTCAGCGTGTTCCTGCAGGCGTGTTTGGTGGGCCCGTTTTCCACCACCACCACCACCAGCAGAAGTTGGAGGGGGGGAGGGAGGAGGAGGAGGAGGAGGAGGAGGAGGAGGAGGAGGAGGAGGAGGACGAGGACGAGGACGAGGAGGACGAGGACCCCCTCCTCCTCCAGCTTATGGTGGTGGTGGTGGTGGAAAACGGGCCCATCGGTACTGGCACCCCGAGGGCCGCGGCCAGTGGTGCTCCGGTTTGAGGCGCCTCCGGGCTTCTCGTTCGCCGCTGCAGGGGGCGGCCCGCGCAGCGCAGCGCTGGCGGCATCGGGCCCCGTGCCGCGCCAGATGTACACGAGGGGCTTTCTGTGCATGCCTTTGTATGTTTTTTTGCTTGTCTCTCTCTCTATATCTATGTCTTGCTTTTTCTCTTTCTCTCTCTATATATTTATATATCCATATACATATACATATATATATATACTATTTCTTTTTTTTTTTTCTCTCTCTCTCTCTCTCTCTCTTTGTATATGTGAATTCCAGTTGCTCTGCGCATGGGTCGGCAAAAAAGTGCCCCTGCCGTACGATAGGCGCGCCTCCCGCCTCGCGCGCGCCCGGAGCATGGAGTTGGGGAGTTGGCCGACCCTCAGGATCGGCAGTGGCTGAGTTGGCCACGATCTCCAGGGACCCGACGGGATGCCGACCTTGATCTGGCTTCCCGATCATACGCTGGCCCTAGGTGCCCTGGGCAGTTCGGACGGACCCAGGACTATTTTCAGAACGCTCTAGGCCGCCAGTTTTCACAGATGCCCGATTTGCCCGGGTCCGACTTTGTTCCCATCTCGGTTTCGTCTTGGCAGTGGTGTGAAAGTGCACGCTCACGAAGCCGTCGTGAATGTGTCCGCTTTTGCACCACTCACGACGGCGTCGTGAGTGTCTTTCGAGCCGTCGTGAGTGTGCGCTTTCGCACCACGCACGCCGCAGAAAGGTAGGATCAAAGACTCCCGACGGGAGCCCTAGACCCTATCTTTCTGCGGCGTCTTTCGAGCGGGATCGATTTGTGATGGCCCTGGGGCCCGAAGCCAGGCGAAAACGCTCGGCGTGAACTGAATTGCAGCGTCCAGATTTGAGGGCTGTTGTCCTAGGCAGTGGTGTCCCAGGCCACCCAAATGGGGTCAGAGCAGGTGGGGTCGGTGGATCGCGAGCATGACCGATGCATCGAGGATGCAACTCGGTGTGGAGCCCGACCTTCTCCACGCCGGCGTCGCCGATACTCCGCCGACGTCCACGATGCATCGATGATGCATCGGCGATGCGGCGCGATCCAACGATCCCATCAGCTCGGACCCAATGTGTCGAGTAGGTGATCGACTACAGAACTCATTTACTCCCAAATTGAATTGTTCGTCGACCGTTTGAAAGATACGTAGAATGCTCCGTTGAACATTCTACACATGCGTTCACAGGTTCGAGTCGATCAATGCTGGCGCAAGTCAATTCTGTAGTCGTTCCCCTGCTCGAATTTGCGAGGCCTCTCCCTGGTGGTGCGAGAGTGGCCCCCCGCTGAGGTCACGGAGTTCATGCTGTGGTACTGCGACGACGCAGAGGGCGCGGAGGTGGCGGCGGCCGTGCAGGACGCCGCGAGGAGCGGCGGGGGGCGGGGAGGCGTCGGGGGGAAAACCGCACACAGACCCGAGTCATCGTCGACCCCCAGGAGAGCATGGGAAAACACGGGAACGGGGGTGGGAAAACGGACTTCCAGAAGGTCGGGGGGGTGGGGGGAGGGGAGGGCGGATCCGAGGAAGGGTAGAGAAGAGAAACGCGGCGCTCAAGTGGCCAGATGCGCTGAGTCAGGCTGAGCCGATGCCGGGAGCCACGTAACCTTTTGCGTGCTCGACCCTCTCTCCCCCCCCTCCCCTCCCTCCCTCCCCTCCCTCCTCTCCCTCCCTGCCTCCCTCTCTCCCTCCCTCCCTCGTCTCCCTCCCCCCTCCCCTCCCTCCATCCCTCCTCTCCCTCCCTCCCCCCCCTCTCCCTCCCCCCCTCCCCTCCCCTCCCTCCCTCCCTCCTTGTCGCTCCAGCTGCCGCCTTCGGGGGTCGGCTGCTTGTGGGAGGAGCCCTCTGCTGGAGTGACCTCTGGTGCGGGCCCGCATCGCTTCCCCCCCTGCATTTTGCCTTGCGCGCTCGGAGCTGGCCTCCCCGCGGCCACCCCTCTGAAGCCGCGCACCAAGGGTCACCCTTGCCCAGGGTCCCTCTTTGCGTGTAGCCGAGAAGGTCCGGGAGGGAGGCAGAGGGGGAGGGGATGCAGTAGGGAGGCGGCGGAAGGAGGGGGGTGAAGGGAGGAGGGGGAAGAGGAGGAGGAGGAGGAGGAGGAGGAGGAGGAGGAGGAGGAGGAGGAGGAGGAGGGGGGGGAGGAGGAGGAGGAGGAGGAGGAGGAGGAAGAGGAGGACGAGGAGGATGAGGAGGAAGAGGAGGACGAGGAGGAGGAGGAAGGTAGAGGAGGCGGCAAAGGTACCGATACCGCCACCCTTGCCTCGTTTTCGCCTCTTGGGGCCTCCTGCGAGGCCTTCGTCGCCACGACTGGATCCGTATCGACATCCTGGTCACAACGGGCCCCAGGAGAGAGGTCCGTAGAGTAGCGGTATGGATACTTTTGTGCTTCCCTTGATGATGCGGAGGAGGAGGAGGAGGAGGAGGAGGAGGAGGAGGAGGAGGAGGAAGAGGAGGAGAAGGTGGAGGAGGAGGAGGAGGAGGAGGAGAAGGAGAAGGAGGTGGAGGAGGGGAACCTGGCCAGACGAGTTAGGCAAGGGGCAGAGAGCAGAGGATTCATTTTCGCGCGCGCTGTCCACCCGTGTCGTATTTGGATTTGGGGGCTTGGAGTGTGCGCCAAAAAGACGAGGAAGAGGAGGAGGAGGAGGGCAGGTGGAGGAGGGGAAGACGGGGTGGAGCAGGGAGGAAGTCCGAGAGGGGGAGGGAAGAAAAGGTGGCATCATGAGAGTGCCGCCGCCGCGCGGCAGTGGTGACACGAACTCGCACCGCACCGAGCCCTCGACCCTCGACCATCTCGATCCTCCTACTCTTGGCATCGCTCGGACGCGTGCCTTTTTCTTCCGGCGAGGACCATCGAGGAGCATCCTTGATCATTTGGCGAAAAAACCGCGCACGAATCCGAAAACAAAAACATAGGGAATGGACGTCCGAGCGATGGCCACTACTCGCCCGCTGCTCCCGCGGCCCCGCCGGGCCCTCCGGGGTGGCCATCGCGTGGCCCCGTGGCCCCACCCTGCCGGCGCGCGCGCCGAGGGGCCCCGGGAGCCCCGCCCGCACGGCGGCGCTCCTGGCGGCTGGTCGCCATTGGTCGGCGGGTCCATGTGCATGTTTTGAGCCTCGTTCCTCCTCTTCCTCCTCCCCCCCCCGAAGCAAGTTGCTGCGGTGGGGGCGTTCGTTCAGGAATGTGACCAGGAGGCTTCGGACCCTGGGGGATTCCATGTCCCGTGGGGGCGGCGGTGACATCCATGGCCAATTCCCGATTGGAGTTCCACCGGGTTCCAGACCCTGGGTTCCGTGATCGGCAAAACGCCCAAACACGGGTTTGCCGGCGCTTCTGGACGAGCGCGTTCTGGATTTTGGCGGTCCAGTTTTTGTGGGATCTTTGCAGCGGGAGTTCGCGTCAAATTTCAGAGAAGGTCTCGTCATTTTCATGGTGGTCCCGTCAGGCCAACCCGGGTCCCCCGATCCCAGGTGTCACGTCTCTCCGATATGTCGTCGTGCGTACAGTCGGGGCGCTGAAGAAGAAGCCCTTTGCGTTGGGGAGGGGCTCGGTGTTCCTTAATTGTTCCACACCTTGCCTGAGGTTTTCCGTAAGGTGTCGAGGGGAAGTCGAAGTTTAGTTTATGGAAAAGAGGGGCCTCGTTTCTTATTTAGGGTTCCTTAGGTCAACGCCTCGACTGTAAGGCGTAAGGCCCGTTCGTTTCTGTCGCCCCGCTGCCCTCCGGGCCCTCCAGGCTCTCCGGCGGTGGGCGGGCCAAGGGGGCAAGAGAGACTGCCGCCCCCAGCTCCCTGGGCATGCGCGTGGTCCTGGCGGCTCTCCAGCAGGCGGGCCGGGCGGGCCCCCTCTCTCCTTGTTCGTCCTCCTCCCTCCTTTCCCTCGCCCTCCTCTTCCTCCTTTTCCTCCTCCTCCTCCTCCTCCTCCTCCTCCTCCTCCTCCTCCGTAGCCATTTTGGCTCAAGATGTCGCTGGGGCGAGGGGTGGAGTTGGTCCAGGCTGCCCACACCCGGTCCCCACGGCACAAATTGAGCCTCTCTTGCTACACTCTCGCGCTTTCAATCGGGCCCCTGGCCCTACTACTTTCATCTTCTGTGTGCAACTCAGGGCTGCCCTTCCCTGAGTCTGCTGCTCCCGCCGCGCTCCCATGGCAGCACGTGGCAGCGGACCCGAGGTGCACCACCTCGACGACGGCAGCTCGGCCTCGGAGGACTCCGTGGACGCCAGGCAACGTGCTTCGAAGTCCGCCCCTCGGCATGGCAGTGCAAGTGCTGAGCGGGCGCGGCGCAAGCGCCGCTCACGCAGGGAGGCTACGGCGGCCACCCTTGCTCAGCTCGAAGCAGTGCCCACTTTCCCGTCGCAGGAACGAATGGGTGATGCATCGCTGGCAGCGGCGATTGATCTTGCGCCGACGCTGCCTTCACAGGAGGTTCGTGCAGGTGCCCGTGCTGATGGTAAGCTTCCTCCAGCAGCTGGCGCAGCCGCAATGGGGGCTAGCAGCAGTGCCGCCGCACCTGGCCCCGCCAGTGATGCCGCCGCCGCCTCCCAGCGAGGTCGTGCTGCAGGCCCCCCCAACGGTGCTCCCAGAGACCCTTGGCATGAGGGAGCTGGAGATCCATGGAATGGACGTATACCTACGACTGATGAGTTTGATAAAAGAATGCAGGACCTCTTCAACACGCAGATTGATGTCGCTTCCACCAAGCTGCAGGCTGTCTGCAATGAGACCCTCAAGAAGGCCCAGGACGACTTCCAGTCGAGCATGCGGA